TAGAATTATCTATATTGAAGCTGTAATTGTTAGATATATAATTGTTAACCTGCAACTTTAGTCTTATAATTATCATAATTATTAAAAATATACTATATTATAGATCTACAATACATATATAAATACAATTAAGTATGTGATTGAACAAAAATTGAGAAATACGATTGGATGTGATCAAACTATATATTAAAAAATTTTTTGTCAATTTTTTTTTTGCTGCTTGCCACCTTGCTTTTGACAAAATATAGATGTAAGCAACATGTAACTGATATACTCAGCTATATTTATACTTATAACATTTATTGATTTTATTAATTTTATTAATTTTAACAATTTTATATACTGTTATACTTGATTTTCGCCCAAGATCTTCACTACCCCTTGACCAATTTTTACTAGCATTGATCCTTGAAATGTTAGTTATTCTAGAATAGTCTTGTATTACAGATCTGTTATTGCACCTTTGACATCTATTGTATCTATTGTACCTTTATTATTTCTAGAACATTTCTATTTTATTTTATCTTTACTCTCTATATTATCTTCGCCAAAGTATTTATCTATGTAAATGCTATTATAGTTGAATATTCTAATAAAGATAGTATTTATATCTTAGTTTATATTTTTACCATAGCATATATTTATTATGTATGAAAATAATATAACTCAAACATATATATAAAGGCTCCAATTTCGCTTAGGAATTGGCAGGCTTGAACTTATATTTTATCAAATAAATATCTTGATCTTTACAAAACAAATTACTATTGCCTCTTCACCTGATCTCATACACCTCAGAATTGTACTAATTTGTATGTCTCTAGAAACTTTAGTATACCACATTGTTCATGTCTATCTAAAGTGCTTTCTTGCTACTAGTTCTCTATCTTTATCTTTCTCTTGAGGTAGAAACGATATATGACACTATATAGTGTTGAAGATTTGTAATAGTGAGTCTGTTGCTATATTGCAATCACTTATCATATAATATCAAAAGAGGTGTGAAGATATAGCATGAGGTAAATGAAAGTATTAGATAGTAATCTGAGTTTTATGATAAAAAAAATAGTTTTATTATTGTTTTGTCTTTTATATATATATATATATATATATATATGTTATAAAATTCCAAAATCTTAAAAATCCTTTAGAAACTCTTCCGACAAGAGAAAATCTCCACAAACTATATCCAGAACAATACTCTCTCTAATCCATATTGTCCCCGGTGCAGTTTATGCATCAAGGATATCAAACATGTCTTCAAATGCCCATCAGCTTCAGAAGATATTAGCCAACTTATCAATACCATTAACAACATTTTTCATCCCAATAGTAACCACAAGTCAATTTCACATACCTGACAGTTAGCAGAACTGGTATGTGACATTACCGACAATATCTTCTCCACTATCAACTTTTTCAACTGGATTGAAGCCTCAACCAAGACCTTAACTTGTTTGTATAAATCAATTTGAATACCCCACTGTGCTATAGCAAACACTTCTTCCCTTACTGGTATCAAATGGAACAATAACTCCCACAGCAACACATCAAAACAAATGATCAAAAACCTAGCTAAATTCAAATCTCTCAACAATCTCTTCATTTCAACCTTTTCATTTCAACATCAACTACTATAGATACCTACATTAGTGGCTGATTCTTATATTCAAAGCAGATTTAATTTCACTAAGTGCATTTTCAAATTAATTTCAGATTATCTTAATTTTCTTCCATCTAATACTGAGTAGGTAATCATAGCTGCTTGGAGTCTCTTGACAAGATATATTGTTTTAAAATTTCTTTTCAATATTAGTCTAGTGATTACTGTAGGCAAGTTAGCATTTAACTCATTGTACTATTATATATGAGAGATGTTGTTTCTTTCATAATGTATATTTATCACTATGCAAATTAAATAAAGAAATGATGTTTACCTACAAAAAAAAAAAAAAATCATAAAAATCCCTAAAATTCTAAAAATTTATAAAATCCCAAAAATTTCTTAAACTCTAATTGGGTAAGAGTGACATATGTTGAATTTATCTAATTTTTTGCTCCTCTTATAATAGTGAAGGTTTTTTTCCTTTGAAAAATAATATAATTGTTTAATTTCTTTTATATTTAATAAAGTTTTTTTTTATTAATTATAAATAATATCTTGTTTATAATTTTTTTAACATGAAATATCATATATAGTAATATGAAATGTTATAAATATTTTGAATAATTTTGGTTTTTTTTATGAATAAGAATTTTCTTTGATATTATATTAAGTGTAATAAATAATTTTTTAATTAATTCTTTTATATAAATAGATGATAAATAACTTACATTTAATCAAAACATTATAAAAGATTATATATTTTTTTAGTTATAAGAAAGAACAACTGTTAATAATTATAAAATTTAAAATTTTTGTAATTTTTTTTTAATTCTTTAATAAAAATATAATTATTACATATTTTTTTTTTATATTTTTCTATTGTTATTCTTTTGAAATTAAATTTTTATATATTATTATTTTTGATTTTAATATTAGTGCAAAGTTGTAAAATTAATTGAAAAAATAATTTTGAATTGTTTATGTTAATTTGTTTAATAATGTTTAAAACAGAACATATATTGAATAAATTAAATCATTAAGGATTAAAATTGTTTTTTTGTAATTTTGAAATCTGTTAAGAAAGAAATTAAAAATTTTAATATATAAAATTTGGAATTTCATATTTTTTAATTTATTTTGATCTTTTTTTAAATATTTTTTTCTATTTTTCTTTATTCTATTTCTATATTCTTTTATTTTATAAAATCATTTTGTTTACTGCAAGTTTAAATTTACATAATTCTTATTTTACTTTTTCAAAACAACAATAATAAGTAACAAATTTGATAAAAAAGTTTTATATTTGAAGATAATTTTTAATATGTTCTTTCTATTATTTTATATTTTTTTCAAGCAAATATTGTTTTATTAAGCTTGATATATTCACTTTTATAAAAACAATTGAAAGTTATGAAATTAAATATCAATATAAAATTTAGTTAAGCCCATAATTTTCAAGAATTTAAAAAATAAAAAATGGTTGCTGAGTTTCTTTTGAATATTGAAAATGGTAATTATTATGTTATTAGTAATATGGAAGACAATATAAACTAGCTTTTGAATTTTGTAATAACTTGAGGAAGTTTATAGGATCTTATTGATTTTGTTATTTATATTTGATTGAGAATTGTGAAAATGTAGATTATATGATTGATAAAGCTATATTAACATCTAAAAACATTAATATTAAAAAGATTTCTAAGCTGATACTATATTATTTACCTGGTAATTTTATTATTTATTCCAGTGAAAACTCTAGATTTATCTAAAAATTTTAATATATCACAACCTCAAGTGTATTCTATAGAATTTTAAAGGTTCTTAAAAATTTCTGATCATTCTCCTGATAAGTTAAGATTAAAAGTGAAAGCACTAATCATACTTTTATGTAATTTGACCTCTTTTCAAGATCTGTGTGATAAAACCAGACCGATATGTCATACTCTTCAGAAGAAAGTAATTGATGCTAAAATTATAACCAGCTCTTATATTGAAAGTCATGTTTTTATCCCTCACATGACATTGAGCCCTTCTTATAGTAAATTTTCTTTTATTTTAAAATAAGGTCAATTTCCTATCTGTGTGGCTTTTCCCATGACTATTAACAAGTCTCAGGATCAGACCTGAAGGTGCATCAGTCTTTATTTGCCACAACCAGTTTTTTCTCATGGACAACTGTATGTTGCTTTGTCAAGAATTACTTAGTATTCAAATATATCAATTATGTTTGTGAGAAGCCAAATGTTAGATAAGAAATATAGTCTATAAGGAAGTTTCTACATAATATCATTGTCATATATTGTGTCACTCTGATTTTCGATACATGTCTGAAATGTATGCCAGGATAGTGACACATACAATTTTTAAAACTTTCAGATAGCCAAAATTGCATATTGATAGATATATTTGATAACCTTAAAGCTATATGCTAATATTATGTGTTATAAAATTATCTTTTTATATGATTTTGTTGCGCCATATATGTGCCATCAACTTGATACATATTTCGGATGGCTCATCCGATGACTTTGTTCCGTAACCACAAAAGCAACATTCCAATTATAACGTATATCATATGCAAATGGCTCAGCTTCAAGTTTGCAAAGTGCAGTCCCATGACCGCATGATGACTACAGTATTATGTTAATGAAAATAATGTGCCACGATTAAAACATCACTATACTGTCACTTTGGCAGTATCTCACTCGATGCGAAGCAGCGGGTTCCAGCTATTGTAGTTATATTATTAAAAAAAATTCATACAGAATAAATTTACAAAACGAACTCCCTACTGTATAAAGAGAATGGTTGCTGACGGTATTTGGAGAGCATATGCGTAGCGGTGATCGAAGGACAATCATTGAAACGTGATAGCCGTCGACTCTACCGTGTAAGGAAGCAATAGGATTAGTGATTTTAAATAGGTTTTTTTAACCTCATTGAATTGACAACACAGCTGCACAACGCTATCTTCGCGAGTCATATAAGGAAAGTTACAATAAAGATAGGAATTAATTGATTTTGAATTTAGCCTTGGTTTTCATTGTCACTAATATAAACAGACGGTCGCATCTTATACTCAACATGTAACCTTGATTACCAATTAGTCGTCCTTTAGTTCAAAGAAGAAACCATTTAGCTTATTATGCTCGCCATGAATGTGGGGCTAATAATTATTGAATTTTCATTGTGTATAAAAAATATAAAGTTATAACTGCGGATGCCTATATGTTGAAATGCAGTATATAAATTTTTGTGTACGCATACGTATTGTTACCGTTAATGTACTGTATGCAATTTAACCTTGTTTGAGTGCACATACAGATTGAATTTCCCAAATTCGTTTATAAATAAAGCGCATCAGTAAATTCATCAACCAATATTTTATAGAAAAATGGCCAAATCTGTCTCTTTAGAATATCGGATTTCGATTGATGAAGAAACTTCAAATAATGAAAAAATTTCACAAGTCGATCTCCAAAATCCACACAGTGGAAAGAAAATAGACAAGGTCGTTTACTCACCAAGGAATGAATATTTTGCGACTGCGAGTTTTATGGATCGTTCAGTTTGCGTGAGAAAGTTTGCGCAAGGAGAAAAAGGAGAGCTCGAATTAAAATTGGATCGTTTTTTTGACCTTAAAGAAACAGTTTTAGATTCTCCAATTTGCGTCTCGGATTCCAATAGTATTCTTATAGGAAGCCATTATAGAGGTTCTAAAATCCTTGGTAAGTTTAGAATTATTCTTAAAGTTGTAATTTCGTTTTTTTTTAAATATTGAATATGATTATTCCAATAGAAACTAGAGATTATAAAAACAATAAAAGGAAATTACTGGATCACAAAGATTACAATGGCGACATAGTCAATTGTGGATTTCTTACAAATGGCGATTTTGTAGCTGTTGAAAGGGATCCTGCTTATCAGTTCCACATCTTTTCGATTATCAGAAATAGATGGCGCTGCACGAGTAGCACTAAACTCAATAAATTTAAACATGCAGTTATTTCTCAGGATAGAATTTTTATTATCTTAGATGCACCTTTTGTAACCATGCAATGGAATCTGTTAACACAAAAGTTTGAGGCGCAATACGAATTAGATTGGAGATTGGTCGAGCATCGTAAAAGTATATTAATAGAACTAAACAGTCACTGACATACTTGTAGTAGCTGGAGATTCAAATACAAAGCAGGAGGGACATTCGAATACAAAGCAAGAAGAAAATTCAATAGTCTATTTTTATTCTGCGAAATCTGGTACAATGATAGGAAATCGTAAGTACTATTTACTCATGTAAATTATCTAGTTCTATTACTAACCTATAAATTAATTTAATAGAATCGTTTGGTGAAATGTTTTACGAAAAAAAAAAGACTATAAAAGTTAATAAAAAGTCTGGTAAAAGGTTTGTTAAAAAATCAACTAGTAAGATACGGTTTATTAAATTCGAAAAAGGGGAACTTCTCTTTATCTATTTTGGACAGGAGAAAACATCTTATGCAATTACTCCACCTACATCATCGTCTTCGCTCGAACTTCATTACTTGCCGAATTCTTCCTCAGAGTCAAAAAATTCAGGAGAATCACATTTATCGGCTAAAATTAATTTTATTCTACAATATCACAACGATCAGTCTTTTAAAGATCAATCAAACAATGAACTTGGAAAATATAAAGACGAAAAACACTCTTTTGAAGAGATGTGGAAAGAGGACACTCGTGATGAAAATAAAGTCGATTTACAACGAGAAGATATAAAAAAACATTTAGATGATATTTTATTAAAATGTGAATCAAAACAAATCGAGAAATCGTTAGCCAAACAATCGTCAACCCTGGATTCGTTAGACGGTAAGCGATATACCTGGACTGTTCAAAACGCGTCTCATGACAATATGTTAGTAGCTATAATAACAGCTAGAAAGACTGCGATGGATGCGGTAATAGGAAAAGTAAAAACATATTTACGCGTGAAAAATAAAGAAGAAATTGAAGTAGAATCTATGCTACTTAAAAACGAAGATTTGATGCTGGCTGCTTCCTTTGGAGTACAAATCTGGACAGTAAAAGATAATTCCATTTATTTACTTCATTATTGGGCTGATCTGACAATGCATTATACATTGGAATCGCCGCTAGATGCTATAGTTAAACAACTTACTTTATTGAAGACGAAATTAGAATCCGAAGATTATGAAAACTTGTTACCTCCTCCGTACTTCGACCAAATAATTGAACATAGAGAAGAACCTTTGTATCGAAAAGATTGTTTGGAAATTACACATTCAGATTTCTTGAAAAGGTACACAAATGATGTCTCATTTCTGGAGTTATACGGAAGAGAATGGCTCCAAACATTAGTTGAAATGAAACGTCATGAGGATAGTAAAAAACTTTTTAATTCTATCGTCGATCAAAGTTTATATCGGTTTCATGAAAATATTATTTCTAGTTGTACCAACTTATTAGGTATGGTTGCCTATAATCTTTTAGAATTAGAATCATTTGATAATTTTACAGAACATTTTTTATCTTCAACCGCATTTTTAATTCCTGATTGCATTATGGATACCCTAATTCCTGAATTAAACGTTAAGCCAATGATACCTTTATATAATTTTGCTACCTATCCTGAAAAACAACTATTCCAGTTATAAAGAGTTTATTTATCCACCTGTCAACCCCTTTACCTCATTAAATTCTCCAGAATACTATAAATGGCCTAATATTAAAGCTCTTGTCAATTTTAAGTGGGGAATGTATGGGAGATACTATCATTATTTCATATGGATATTGTACACAATATTTTTGCTATGTTTTTCCACAGCTGCAACACTTTCACAGAAAAACAGGGACGCATTCTTGTGGGCAACAATTATTCTTGGATTTTTTCAGTTTACTTATGAATTTCGACAATTTATCCACAATGCAAAATATTACATCAGAAGTCCTTGGAACTGGTTTGGTTCGTATAATTCATCTATTTAGTGCGTATCAAATATTTATTATTAGTTCTAACTTTAATTATTTGCAGACCTCGCTGCTTTATTGTTTCCTACAATGACTTCAATTTTGTGGCTGCTTAATAAAATCCCGTCATTATCGGTTATCGCTATATCAACACTCGTAATTGAACTCAAATTCTTAACTTTTTTTCGTGCCCTTTATTACTATGGAAGATATTTTGCAATTATGGTTGGAGTAATGAAACAAGTTTACTGCTTTATTATAACTTTAGGTATTATTATTTTTGCATTTTCCCATTCTTTACACCTCCTATTAAGACCGACTACCGAATTTACTTTCGATGAATCAAGTTACAACGAGGATGGTAATAATCCTTGGAATCTTGTTTCAACATATTGTTGGGGGTTATAACGGCGAGTCTGTCGCTACATCGCGATCGCCGATCGTGTAACGTCGAAAGAGGCGTGGA